GGTTCTTGGTAATCTCAAGTAGTCAGCAATCCAAGTGTGTAAGATTGGTTCCACGAAAAAACTATTCCAGAGTTGATACCCCTGATGTAGAAATGAGGCATCCTGAAGTGGCCAATGCTGTGATGAGGATGTCAATGAGATTAACTCAGTACAGAAGATAAAGATTGAGACTGATCATGTTTAATAATTCCTAATCTGACTGCTGATCCTCTTGAACAGTGGCATGATTGTCAGAGCTTGTTGATGATTACCCACTGAAGGAACTTATAATGACTCCGGTAGGTGATGGGGTGAAACCAAACAGGTGAGATATGTCCAGTGAGCAGAACGCATGATATTGCCTGCATGTAAAACTAAGGTTCAGAGTCCATGTCTGTAGATATGAGTAGTGAGCAGAAATGCCCTGACAGGTTGATTGTCTGTCTATGTCCAATCACATTTGGAGCCTCAAAGTTCATCATGAGTAGTGGATTCCAGCATTCCTTCTGACAACATGTGTCATCTCGATGATGAGTCCATAATAAGGCTTGGATCTCTCAAAGTTCATCATGAGTAGTGGATTCCAGCATTCCTTCTGACAACATGTGTCATCTCGATGATGAGTCCATAATAAGGCTTGGATCTCTCAAAGTTCATCATGAGTAGTGGATTCCAGCATTTCTTCTGACAACATGTGTCATCTCGATGATGAGTCCATAATAAGGCTTGGATCTCTCAAAGTTCATCATGAGTAGTGGATTCCAGCATTTCTTCTGACAACATGTGTCATCTCGATGATGAGTCCATAATAAGGCTTGGATCTCTCAAAGTTCATCATGAGTAGTGGATTCCAGCATTCCTTCTGACAACATGTGTCATCTCGATGATGAGTCCATAATAAGGCTTGGATCTCTCAAAGTTCATCATGAGTAGTGGATTCCAGCATTTCTTCTGACAACATGTGTCATCTCGATGATGAGTCCATAATAAGGCTTGGATCTCTCAAAGTTCATCATGAGTAGTGGATTCCAGCATTTCTTCTGACAACATGTGTCATCTCGATGATGAGTCCATAATAAGGCTTGGATCTCTCAAAGTTCATCATGAGTAGTGGATTCCAGCATTTCTTCTGACAACATGTGTCATCTCGATGATGAGTCCATAATAAGGCTTGGATCTCTCAAAGTTCATCATGAGTAGTGGATTCCAGCATTTCTTCTGACAACATGTGTCATCTCGATGATGAGTCCATAATAAGGCTTGGATCTCTCAAAGTTCATCATGAGTAGTGGATTCCAGCATTCCTTCTGACAACATGTGTCATCTCGATGATGAGTCCATAATAAGGCTTGGATCTCTCAAAGTTCATCATGAGTAGTGGATTCCAGCATTCCTTCTGACAACATGTGTCATCTCGATGATGAGTCCATAATAAGGCTTGGATCTCTCAAAGTTCATCATGAGTAGTGGATTCCAGCATTTCTTCTGACAACATGTGTCATCTCGATGATGAGTCCATAATAAGGCTTGGATCTCTCAAAGTTCATCATGAGTAGTGGATTCCAGCATTTCTTCTGACAACATGTGTCATCTCGATGATGAGTCCATAATAAGGCTTGGATCTCTCAAAGTTCATCATGAGTAGTGGATTCCAGCATTCCTTCTGACAACATGTGTCATCTCGATGATGAGTCCATAATAAGGCTTGGATCTCTCAAAGTTCATCATGAGTAGTGGATTCCAGCATTCCTTCTGACAACATGTGTCATCTCGATGATGAGTCCATAATAAGGCTTGGATCTCTCAAAGTTCATCATGAGTAGTGGATTCCAGCATTTCTTCTGACAACATGTGTCATCTCGATGATGAGTCCATAATAAGGCTTGGATCTCTCAAAGTTCATCATGAGTAGTGGATTCCAGCATTTCTTCTGACAACATGTGTCATCTCGATGATGAGTCCATAATAAGGCTTGGATCTCTCAAAGTTCATCATGAGTAGTGGATTCCAGCATTTCTTCTGACAACATGTGTCATCTCGATGATGAGTCCATAATAAGGCTTGATCTCTCAAAGTTCATCATGAGTAGTGGATTCCAGCATTCCTTCTGACAACATGTGTCATCTCGATGATGAGTCCATAATAAGGCTTGGATCTCTCAAAGTTCATCATGAGTAGTGGATTCCAGCATTTCTTCTGACAACATGTGTCATCTCGATGATGAGTCCATAATAAGGCTTGGATCTCTCAAAGTTCATCATGAGTAGTGGATTCCAGCATTCCTTCTGACAACATGTGTCATCTCGATGATGAGTCCATAATAAGGCTTGGATCTCTCAAAGTTCATCATGAGTAGTGGATTCCAGCATTTCTTCTGACAACATGTGTCATCTCGATGATGAGTCCATAATAAGGCTTGGATCTCTCAAAGTTCATCATGAGTAGTGGATTCCAGCATTTCTTCTGACAACATGTGTCATCTCGATGATGAGTCCATAATAAGGCTTGGATCTCTCAAAGTTCATCATGAGTAGTGGATTCCAGCATTTCTTCTGACAACATGTGTCATCTCGATGATGAGTCCATAATAAGGCTTGGATCTCTCAAAGTTCATCATGAGTAGTGGATTCCAGCATTTCTTCTGACAACATGTGTCATCTCGATGATGAGTCCATAATAAGGCTTGGATCTCTCAAAGTTCATCATGAGTAGTGGATTCCAGCATTTCTTCTGACAACATGTGTCATCTCGATGATGAGTCCATAATAAGGCTTGGATCTCTCAAAGTTCATCATGAGTAGTGGATTCCAGCATTTCTTCTGACAACATGTGTCATCTCGATGATGAGTCCATAATAAGGCTTGGATCTCTCAAAGTTCATCATGAGTAGTGGATTCCAGCATTCCTTCTGACAACATGTGTCATCTCGATGATGAGTCCATAATAAGGCTTGGATCTCTCAAAGTTCATCATGAGTAGTGGATTCCAGCATTCCTTCTGACAACATGTGTCATCTCGATGATGAGTCCATAATAAGGCTTGGATCTCTCAAAGTTCATCATGAGTAGTGGATTCCAGCATTCCTTCTGACAACATGTGTCATCTCGATGATGAGTCCATAATAAGGCTTGGATCTCTGAAAAGTTCATCATGAGTAGTAGCCATTCCAGTATTCCTAAGCAAGGTTGCTTACAAAACTGAAATGGTCATTCCTACTGGGAGTCCATAATAAGACTTGGATTACTTCCGATAGCAGAATGAACAATCATTAATATTACACAAACTAGATGCCGGAAAGCATATTTTCAATGAAAACAATGAGGGGTGGGCAGTAGAGCATCAAACAGAATGCTTCTAAGATATGCGGAACAAGTTATACCCTTGGAAATCTTAAAAACAGGACATATTCACTCACATGTGGCAGGAAAGAGAATGAAGATAGCTGGATAGCTGATAGTCACATGATCAACAGGCAACTTTGCATGCTTTCCATGAGCTACCTGTGACTAGCTACAATAGATAGAGCTGGGGTATGTTTGGGCAAGGCTGAAAACTTTGTTCCAGGCCTTTTCCACTCCATGGTCTAAAGAACAAGAGAATGTGAGATGGGATAAGTTAAAAAAAACAAATCAGGTGTTCACATGAGTGTCACTCCTTGGTCACATGTTACAACGGTATTCATGAAGGCCATGGCAGAGTTTGATAACAAAGAGCAATCAATTAACATATTATCTGCTAATAATATTTACACAGGCACTTCATGTCAAGATAAGGGTGTATTCCAACCTACATAATAAACTTACTTTTAACCAATCCACTGTACAAGATAACAGTGATTAGTAATCATAGTTAATCCTTTCACCAATGTTTTTTGCTACTCAAATGACCATTTCTGTCCCGCTGTGCTGTAACATGCATATAACATACTATGTAATTCATTCTTCATATCAGGCCTGGATTTATAAGCCAGTCTTAGACTGAAAAATAACATCAGCAGCTGTACTGGACATTTGCGGGTGAGCAGTGTAGGACAGCTTCTAGGATGCATTATATCTAACATTCAGTTACAATGTTTCCAGGAGCTTTGTTATTGTCATTGCTTCCCAACATGTGCAGTGAATCTGACATTATGTAAAAATAACAACATGACATTTTTAATGACACCAAGAGACTCAAATATCTAACAAATTTACGTATAGAGCCATAGTGAGTGAGTGAGTGAGTTTAGTTTTACGCCACACTCAGCAATATTCCAGCTATATGGCGGCGGTCTGTAAATAATCGAGTCTGGACCAGACAATCCAGTGATCAACAGCATGAGCATCGATCTGCACAATTGGGAACCGATGACATGTGTCAACCAAGTCAGCGAGCCTGACCATCCGATCCCCATAGAGCCATAGAATCCATCCCATTGTAGACAAACTTTATTGATAACAACATCTTTATTTTATGGTGCAATGTTTTGATACAGATTCTTGTATGGTTGTCAAGCAGGAAAAGTCTCTCTCCCCCTCAAGCCAAAGTGAGTCCTAATTAGATTCTAAAGTTTCATAATACTTTTGGGAAATATTGCCTATATTCATAAATAGAATTCTCAGAAACAACAGAGAGTATACCTTTCAGTGATTTCATTTGTGAACCACTCTTTTCCAATGATAATATCAAAATTGGAAACAAAACAGTTAAATGTAAGCATTGCGTGGCCTTTGGTATATCACACATTGGTGACCTTATTGATGGCAAATTTATTGACTTTAAAGAACTTTGTACACTTTGTTCATCACATTCCTAACATGAACATTCATGATATTGTGTACACAAGGCTTTCCCTTTCAGCCAATGTCCCATATAAAGTGTTTCGATGCAACTGGAAAACACAAATTGTGATGATGGTTGTCAACTTTGTGAAAACACATAAATTTACATAACTGATTTATGCTTTAGTTGTCTATCTGAGATAAAACCCATTTACTGCTGAGCTAAAGAAACACGTTTTGGATATGATGGTACTGATTTACCTGAATGATGCATTCCATGAGGTACTCCTGAGCAATAGGATCACGGCAGTTGACTATTTGCTCCAGAACTCCTGGCAACACATGCTAAAATGACAACAATGTACAAATACACAAAGTGACCAGATTAAAAATTAAAACAACTCTGCATCTCAAATCAATTATGGACAAATAATGGCAGCAATGATTAAAGTCAGACTGCAAGTTGAAATTGTGAGTGAGTGAGTGAGTTTTACGCCACACTCAGCAACATTCCAGCTATATGGTGGCGGTCTGTAAATAATCGAGTCTGGACCAGACCAGCCAGTGATCAACAGCATGAGCATCGATCTGCGTAATTGGGATAGGATGACATGTATCAACCAAGTCAGTGAGCTTGACCACCCAATCCTGTTAGTTGCCTCTTACGACAAGCATGTAATTTTCTGAGTAAAATTGATATTTTATACTTATCCTGACTCATGTATTATTGCTTGTCTCCTTCCTTTCCCGAACGTTTGTGGAACACTTGTATCTCCTTTTTGAAGCTCCCTTAGAAAAAGCAGACGTAAAATCACTACTCACCACGAGTTGTCTCCCTCTCGGTTTTGGCGGGAAAACAGCACCACCCGTCTTCCCACTCTTCACTCTCTCCGAATTGCTAGCCCGACACTTCGCTGGGAAATCCAAAGTGCCTAGCGGGGAGGTTGGGAGGGCTTACCTCATGAGTCAGGATAAGTATAAAATATCAATTTTACTCAGAAAATTACATATTTTTCCTTATCCTCACTCATGTATTATTGCTTGTAGAATCTGACGGATTTGGTGGTGGGTCAAGCCACTTCTGGATTCCAATTGTTGATTTACGTCTTGCATACCCCCCTATGGGAACTTCCTGGTAGCACTTCAATTTACTGCTAGGCTCTGCTGCTGCTGTAACCTTTTACTTCCAGCTTTCTCTGATGGGGGGACCACAATTGTTAACTTTTGGTCCTTGCTTCTGTTAACATTTTTATGTAGATTTTTGCAACTCCATCTCTTGATGCAAGCATCAAGTGGAGAAGCCCTTCTTATGAACGAGTACGTCCTTACAAGTACTGGGTCTTATCACTTATGCTAGTCTGTCTTAGACGTGCATATGGACTCTACAGCTGTAACTCTCCTGAGTGTAGGCTTTTGCAAGTCATGTGATAAAAGGGCGAGACTGTCTCAGCGCCTCTGTGGAACTGTCAATTGTTGTGCTACAACAAGTGGGCCGAAATGGTGAATGCCAGAGACGTCCTCAGTGGCGATGTCTCTCAGGTAGTGGTTGGCAAACACCATGTCCGATTTCCAAAAGCAGCCCTTCATTATCCTCGTGATAGAGCAGTTTGAATGTAGAGCGAGTGTTGATGTGAGAGCTCTAATTTCGTGTGGATTGGAGGCTCTTGGAGGATCAAGTCCTGCTGCTTTGTAGGCCCGTAGAATGACAGTTCTCATCCATATTGATATCGTAGTGCGAGAGATCTCAGTCTGTGTCTCTGCCGATATAGGGATGAAAAGACGCTTGAATTTTCGTCTCCTTTTCCTAGACCTTTGTAGGTAGACTTTTAATGCTCTTACTGGGCACAAGGATAGGTCTTGTGTATCCTGTGGCCCAAGGACTGATGATAATGCTGGGATGTGGAATTGTCTGTCCGGTTGAGCTGGCAGTTGATTCTTTGCTATAAGGTCCCATCTCAGTCCCATATGCACAATGTTTCGATTTTCATCAAATCGTGTCCTTTCAAAGTCTAGAGCATGTATTTCCGACATCCTTGCTGCTGTTGCTAAGGCAATCAGGAATAGCGTTTTCTGTGTCAAGAACTCAAAAGATGTCCTATCTAATGGTTCATAAGCGTCACTGGTGAGATGCCGTAGAACTATGTTGAGGTCCCAAGCCGGAGCTTTAAATCTCTGTTGTTGGTCCTCCAGTTTAAAAGAGCGTAGTAAGGCCAGTAACTCTGGTACCTTAGTCAGTTTTACACTCGTCCTCATAGTGATAACTGAGCTCAATGCCACTAGGTATGTTGAGAGTGTTGACCCTTTTAACCGCTTCGTTTGTCTAGGTGACAAAGATAGTCCGCCACTTGAGGGTGTGTCGCTTTCATGGCTGTGAAGCCTGTTTTCAAAGCGTAGGTCTCAAAGCTTCGCCACTTGTCGTCGTACAAGTTGCGTGTTGACTTGCGTAAAGGTAGCGTGACCGCTTTAGCTGCCCTGGCTGAATATCCTATTCATATTATCTATAATAATATCTTATTCAAGCACGCCTTGATACGGTCCATGCGTGTAGGCGGAACACCTTGGGGTTGCCGTGTGCTTGCTTTGTGTGTGGATGTACTAGCAAGTTTGTCCACTCTGGTAGTTGCAGTTGAGGCAGTCCTAGTTCTTGTATGAGAATGGGGAACCATATTCTCGCTGGCCAATAAGACGCGATCAAAATCAGTTGCAGATTCCTCGTCTGCATGATTTTCTGCAACACTTCCGGTATTAGAGCTGGTGGTGGAAACGCGTAAGCATTTAGTCCTTCCCAAGAGATGCTTAGAGCATCTGTTGCCCATGCTCGTGGATCTGGTATGGGAGAGACGAATGTTACCAGTTGATTGTTGAATCTTGTGGCAAACAAGTCTATTGCTGGCGCTCCTATCTCTTGTATGATCTGTTTGAAGATTTCTGGATGTAGCATCCATTCTGTTGGGGATGGCTGAGTTGGACGAGATAGTGCGTCTGCTATCACATTCTTGGCTCCTGGAATGTGGCATGCTTTATGTGGATGTTCAGATTGTCTGTTATGCTGAACCGATGAAAGCACAGGTTCAGAAGGTTCGCCGACCTTGTTGACCCTTCTTTGTTTATGTAGAACGCCACTGTGGAGTTGTCCGTGTGTACCTTTAGATGAGCATTTTATAGAATGCTGATCCAGTGGAGTATGGCGTTTATCACTGCTTTCATTTCTAGCATGTTGATATGCAGATCTTTCTCTTGTAACGTCCATTTCCCAGCTGACACTTCGTTGTCAAGGTGTGCTCCCCATCCTTGGAGAGATGCGTCCACATAGAGATGCGTTTTGCACTCCGGCTCTGCTAAGTAGGTGCCTCCGCAAACATTCGATCTCTGAGTCCACCATAGTAGATATGGTTTTAGTCTGTCCGGGAGTCCAAAGGGGTCCGGATCGTCCAGATGTGCAATTACGAAGACCTGTAGTGGGCGTAGTTGTAATCTCCCTCTGCGCGTCATATCTTGTGCTGACGTGAGGAGACCCAACAGACTCTGCCACTGTCGGAGTGGCCACGGAGAGAGAAGAGCTTGCGATACCATCTGTTGTATCTTTAGCCAACGGTCCTCTGGTACTGTTATGCGGTTTTCTGTTGTGATGAGCCGAATTGCTAGGAACTGCAGGTCCTGTGTAGGCTCTAGTTCCGACTTGAGGACTGAGTAGGCTCTGCCAACTTCGTAGTAATAACGGAGAGAGTAGTACTTGAGATACAATGGCTTGTATCTAGATCCAACGATCGTGAAACCCTTGCCATGTCCGTAAGGGAAACGAAGCAATGTCCGACTCTGTGACTGCCATCGTTGTGAAGTCTATATAAAGTAGACTGGCTGCCGTAACCAAAAGTCTGTCAAACGTATGTTGCTGCAATTCGCCTGATGAACCGTCTTTAATGCTGACAGGGAAGGTCTCTAACCCTGTGAAGACAGAGGAAACACGTAGTTCCCGTCTAACTGGACTGTAATTGAGGCCTTCCTCCCACGTTGAAAGGTTGTTGTCACTTGTAAACAATTCCCTGACATGTGAACTACGTCTGACTTCTGCGCAGGGCGTTGTCTCTCATGGACCAATCAAAATGCAGCATTTTGATTCCTTTAGCTTCCCGTGATGTGCGTCACCAGTGTAGCTGAAAAAAGGTCCTTGTAGAATCTTGTGCAGTCGTTGATATCTTATCAACACTCGGTCTTGTCCGTAGCCTTCCGGAGTTATACGAGTGACCACGTGTATAGAGGGTTGCATGGTAAACGCGCGAAATATTTCGCCGCGTAATACCGATGTAGGTAGGCTGTTTTCCTGGCTGCTGTGACTGTTACTTCAGACCTGAAGATAATGCAGTCATCCTTTTATACAGATGATCAGCTGAAGTCTACACCTCCTCAGCGCTGCCACTTGTAGATTGCATTCATCGATCTCAATGAAGCGTCGTAACATACCCTCTTTGTGTTGAAACACACAGGTCCTTGTAGAGTTGATGGTCAACTTTGTTGTAAGTTCTACAAAGGGAGTCGTTGCTGATTTTGTAGTTTACATCAATCTCTGGAGTCTTTATGCAGGATCCCATGTAAAGTAGCGGGAATTCCCAAGCTTGGACGTTGGGAATATGTTGACTTTGTAACTTCATAGCCTTAGCAAGGCTGTGCTGAACCCCGCCAATGTAAATACCTGATCTGTACGCTCTCCAGAGTAGCGTTGGGACATCTGCCTGATGACACTGGCTAGTGTATCAATGGACTTTATCATCATGACTTCCCTGGATTCCTTTGTGACTTCCTTGGCAACCTCGTCAATCTCCCCTGCAAAGATGGATGTTGTAGACCATGGAGCTCTGTGCAGAGTCTTAGTGAAGCGTTCACTCCAGTTACATGAAGACAATAGTCCTTGTCTTCTGACGAGCGTCAATGCTGCTGATATGGATGATAAATGCTCTGACATAAAATGGTGGTCCTTTTTCTGCGTTAGTAGGGCAGAATAAATCATCCGGTCTTCTTCTGCAGTAGAGTTCCTGAACTTGGAGATTAGCGTTTCATTAATTGCCCTGGATCTGTTAAGTCCGAAGAACATCCTTCTGTGCCAGCTTTTTGTCATCAATCTTGTAAGATTTGTCCGGGTACTGTGGGATAGTCCACATCATCGCCATTCATTAGGTACGTAAATGCTTCATTCTCTTCCTTAGAGGGTGACGCTAGGTCTAGTCCATTAGCCGTCCAATATTTTATCTCTGAGTCCGAAAATATGATACCGCCATTGTCCTCTGTATCATGTCCACTGGTATAAGATCGTTGAATATCCTTTGTTGGGGATCTGCGTGGCGATCTACGTGGCGATCTGCGTGGCGATCTGTGTGGGGATGAGTATGTTGAACTACGTGTAGTTCTAAGAGGCGATCTGTATGGCGACCTGCGTGGAGGTGAGCGTCTTCTAGGCCGGGATTGCCTTCCTGGCAATGTATTCCTAAGTGGTGAATCCTGTGACGACCTGCGAGGTGTTGTTGATGCCCTTGAAGATAATTCAGATGACCTTCGCGCAGGTTAGAGGTTTTGTTGAGGGTCTGAGTCCCGAGACGTCTCTCTAAACCTTCTAGGAGGTGTAGGTTTCTTCCTCTGTGAAGTGGGTAGCCTGCGTGAAGGTTCTTCATTAGCCTCATCATCTGATGACGATCTATTTGGTTCTGAAGAGCGATCCGTCCTTCGTGCAGGTTTGCTGACGTCATGTAGTGTAGATCTGCTCTTAGTCCTAGAGCTACATCCTCTGGTAGGCCTCTCAGATGTATCATCCATCAGTGTGGGGTCCTTCGTGCAGCACTGGATCCTCTCTGAGGTTGATGACTTGAACATGAGAGCCGCCTGGTTGTCCATCATGTGAGGTTCTTCCCTGCGCGAAGCGCTTCTCCATCTTTGTTGAGAGAATTGCTGCATAAAGGCCCCGGGGTTGAATGTCTGCGACGACTGTAGTGATGTCGTATCTGAGATGGTAGCGATATGGTCCAGGGATCGCTGTGCCTCATGGATCTCTGCTGTCAGTGTAGAAGGTAACTCGGACTGCGTAGAGAGGGCTGCTGACGTTACCGTTGCTGAGGCCTGCTTTCTTATGCTGTATCTCTGGGATGATCAACAACGGCTCATCATATAAGCCTCTCTCTTCCATCGGGACGATTTCGGCCGACAAAAGTCCTCGTAGTCTGTGAAGAACTCCCGTAGAGCTGGTTGAAGCCTTAGGGGTGTAAGGCTTCTTCTGCGTTGAAGATGGCCTCTTTTTCTTCATATGGGTTGAGGAGTTGTCCGACGTAGAAGACCCTTTCTTCGACGTAATGGCGGACCTCATCCCACGCCCATCTTCTGAGGACGCCTCCAGCAGGTCACTGGGTGGAAGTATGTTGTCTGACAACGATAGACAGCTCTTTAGGGACTCAGTCGGTTAGCCATGACTTGCAAAAGTCGCCTGGATTTATCCTTAGCACGCCTAAGTACAGAGAAATAATAATTATTAAATTCAAATTTTTGTTAATTGCTGACATAATTTACAGCGAGAGCTGGAAGTACATATTGTTGTGCAACTGGGGCACAATGAATGCGGGTCTGCAGCAGATAACCTAAACCTACAACGAAAACAGGTTTTCATGAAATGTAAACAAACTGAACAATCACGTAAAACCGTGAATAAATAGTCAAATTACTAATAAATTTCAAACCATATTGTAGAAGGATACTCCCTGAAACGTTATAAAGGTAACTTATAGGGAAATAACTAAGTTATCAAAGGATATAGTGCCGTGTTGGAGTCACAGGTGCTCTCCCAACCATCCACTAGGGCGAAGAAGGAGAGAGTGAAGAGTGGGAAGACGGTTGGCGCCGTTTTCCCGCCAAAACCGAGAGGGAGACAACTCGTGGTGAGTAGTGATTTTACGTCTGCTTTTTTTAAGGGAGCTTCAAAAAGGAGATACAAGTGTTCCACTAACATTCGGGAAAGGACAAGCAATAATACATGAGTCAGGATAAGGAAAAATATGGGTTACTGGAGATCAATTCTATCACAAATTTTCACAGGGTCAGTTGAAAATATAAAAGTCAGGTGAGCTAAACAGGTACTGGATCACTTAGCACAAACTTTATAAACATCAAATATATTTCATATTCATACTTACCTTCCATTTATATATGGCATTCCTTTCTTTTTTATGCCATGAACATCAAGATCTGAGTACCATACATGTGGAATGTCTTTTGAAGATGGCATTGACAGAAGATGTTTATCAAAGTTTTTATCTTGAAATTTGTCAAATTACGAGTAAACCACTGATCTTAACATAAATTAAATAACAATGTAACATCTGATAATTGAATTAGTAGCAAACCTTTTTGTATTTTTCAACATGAATACACTCCAGCTGACTGAGGCGAACCAAGTTTGTTCCCACAAGGATACGAAGCTCCCTTCTTTCCTGTTCCCGACGCTCCCGGTCGCGAGAATGGCCCTGGTGTTGCATTCGAACCCACAGTTTGTTCATCTCAGCAAAGTTGAGCAAGATAAAGTCAATAGAATCATCAACAGTTCCACTTTCATGTTCTCCAGAACTGCAAAACATCAAAACAAAATCATTTTAAGTTGCTTTGTAAACATTGCATCACAACGTCCTGTAACTGATCTGAATTTCACCTGCTGGAATATCAGCATTATCAGTATAAAATTGTAACGGTAGAAAAAACAACACACGGCTATGACATCAACAGTTTCAAATATCAACATACAACCAACTACAAAAGATTGTCATTGTTGTTATATATGTTTTGTGTTGTTGACAAAACCAACAGCAGCAACACAATGGAGCTAACAATAACCCTTTTACTTGTTAACCACCAGTATCATGAAAGAACCATCTATCATAACCAACAATTTCAAACAAACAATTTACACTCAGGATTTCTGACTAGTCAACGAATGACACTAAGTAGTAGAGTGGCAAGTGTCTAATCAAACATACCTTAAGGCCCCTCCTCTGTGTCAGGCAAAACGTTTTTTGGTACACTGCAGTAGATAGTTACGCAGAAAAAGTCCTCTCAGTGGATGCTGCACACTCAGCAAAGTTGAGCAAGATAAAGTCAATAGAATCATCAACAGTTCCACTTTCATGTTCTCCAGAACTGCAAAACATCAAAACAAAATCATTTTAAGTTGCTTTGTAAACATTGCATCACAACGTCCTGTAACTGATCTGAATTTCACCTGCTGGAATATCAGCATTATCAGTATAAAATTGTAACGGTAGAAAAAACAACACACGGCTATGACATCAACAGTTTCAAATTATCAACATACAACCAACTACAAAAGATTGTCATTGTTGTTATATATGTTTTGTGTTGTTGACAAAACCAACAGCAGCAACACAATGGAGCTAACAATAACCCTTTTACTTGTTAACCACCAGTATCATGAAAGAACCATCTATCATAACCAACAATTTCAAACAAACAATTTACACTCAGGATTTCTGACTAGTCACCGAATGACACTAAGTAGTAGAGTGGCAAGTGTCTAATCAAACATACCTTGCGTCCTCCTCTGTGTCAGGCAAAACGTTTTTGGTACACTGCAGTAGATAGTTACGCAGAAAAAGTCCTCTCAGTGGATGCTGCACACCACGACACATTTCTACAAGATCCTTTAAAATGTCACGTCTAGATAGTTCATTTGCTTTGATATACACCACCCCAACAGTTATCAGCAGGTACCTGAAAATTGAAAGAAAAATGACATAATGTATTTTTATATAAAGAGAAAGATGAATGGTTTTTATTGCCAGTCAGCAACTGAACCCTGATCATATCATCTGAAGTCTTCGTAATTCATATGACTTTTTAACTGTCTCTATACTGACTAAGTGGTTGATGACAACATGTTTCAACGGTTCACTTTTTAAAAGTTCAATATCTAATCCTGATGCCCTCGCACATCAAACATTGGAGCCCCTAGTAATCTGTGATGTGGGGAAGGTTGTGGAATCCATCATGTCAGATAGGATAAGTATATAAACATACAATTTATAGTTAAAATTTCCAAATTTTTAAACTTATCCTATCTCACGGTATGTATTATCTGGTTGGACAGTGGGTAGCAGATTACCCTGTGTCAGATGTAAACAACCTTGAGGTTGGATTACACAAGGAGGCCTAGAGAAAGCACCAACTCGTGATGGGTTGCTTCTTATAAACCCCTTGGCTTACACGGCACAAAAACAAACAAAAAAAGTGGGCAGTCTCAAATTAATGTGGTTTTCAGCCACAACTTTTGTCAAAGCAACAGGATGCAGTTTGGCAAGTAGACCCCGCATCCCCACGATTTCTTAGAAAACCCCAGTGAATTAAAGTCTAAGACCTTAATCTGGACAGCCCTGCTTCCAAACCATCCCCCACAGACTGACTGACTGACTGACTGAGTTTGGTTTTACGCCGCTTTTAGCAATATTCCAGCAACATCACGGCGGGGGACACCAGAAATAGGCTTCACACATTGTGCCCATGTGGGGATTCGAACCCGGGTCTTCGGCCTGATGAGCCAACGCTTTAACCATTAGGCTACCCCACCGCCCCTCCCCCACAGACACACTGGAAGGCAGTGAAAGGGAAAACAGCCCGGTGCTCAACTTGTTTAATGTTCAGTACCAATCAATTGTCCAAATATGAGAAAGGAACGTAAGAGCGGAACGCTTCGAATACGTTATAGGTTATCGGATATCAACACTTCGCTGACGTAATTGCTCAGAGAGTAGAGGTCAACAAGTTGAATGTCAACCATCTCTGCACAAGTACTAGCCTCAGTCTATCGAGTCATGGGTGTGACAGTACTAACATGAACCAGTTAAGCCAGGTGAGGTGATCGGTGCCCAGATAAATAAAACCAAACAAGAAAAGATCAGATCAATATCTTTTATTGATATAAAAGTAGCAAGACCTAAGCGAAGGTAGGACTGCTCCTTCATCTGCGGTTATGGGCCAACAACAGTTGGACCAATGGACTCAACTGGTGAAGACCCTCCACATCACTGACAGACAGATCTGGGAGATAGTGGGAGGCGAAGACCGTGTCCAATTACCAGAAACAACCCTCCATGATGGTGTTAAGGGAACAACTGCTGTGAAGCGCCATCATGGAAGCCAAGGCTCTTGTCTCATGAGGGTTGGCTGTAGAACTCATCCAAAATGCCAGGGTGGTACATGAGGCTTCTGCAGATGAGGCTGTAGACAGAGGGATGAAGAGTCTCTTATTGGAGGCAGCAAGATACACCCGTAAAGCCCGGACAGGACATAGGGATAGATCCTTAATGTCATCAGGGCCTAGAATTGTGGTCAGTGGCGGAATGACAAAGAATCTGTCCGGATGTCCTGGGCAACTGCTTTTTTAAATCCAACCTCAAACCTTGGAAAACTTTGGCATGCCTTTTCCTCTCAAAATGCACCCGGTTGACGTCCAGTGCGTGAAGTTTGCGAGATGCTTTCCATGAGGAGAAAGGTCTTGAAAGTAACATGCTCAAAATCCTCCGCTGGAGCTCATATTCCTCTGAAGATGAGGTACTGGGTGTGGATCGGCCAGCCTTTGTACGTCGACAAACCAACCAGTGTCATCCCCTGCGTCATTCACAGCTTGAGTAGTATCTGAGGGAGTAGCGCCATTGGTAGAAACGCATATGCGTGGAGGCCTTCCCTAGGGATCGCTAGTGCGTCGTGTTGCCATGCCAGAGGATCCGGAATCAGGGACACGAACTTCGAAAGCTGAGTGTTGAGATCCACTGTCAGGCTCGACATCGGAAAACAGTGCGTCTGGAAGATCTGTAGATGCAACTTCCACTCTGTCCGGGATCGGGACAGTGAACTGGCAATGTCGTTCTTTATCCCTGAAATGTAATTTGCCTTGACCGTGATGTTCAAAGAACTGTTGAGCTGAATGAAGGAGCCCGTGGATACCATCTGGTTGATATACCACACTACTGCGGTATTGTCCAAACAAATTAGAAGGCTAGTTGACTGAAGAAGATGCTGCCAATGAGTTATCTCCAAAATGACTGCCCTGAACTCCAAGACGTTGATGTGACACGTTTGGTCTGTGGGAGACCACAGCCCTGCCACAAATCAGATGATGCACTGGAGCAAACGGCCTTAAAGAGACTCCGCCGTAAACATTCAATTTGTGCAACCACCATTGGAGATGGGATGGAGCTCCATGGGAAGAGAAATCAGCGCATGAGGGTCTGCCTATCCTGATGTGCGGACGCAGAAATAATTGTAGTGGCCATAGTTGAAACTGTCCCCTGAGAGTGAACGCTTGAGTTGAGGTCAACACTGATGTTCTTACCACTGACGGAGAGTTCTGGGTTGCGTGAGCGTTAGGGGTACCAATCGGTGAATCTTCAGGAACCGATCTCTGGGAACAAACAGTTTGTTGAGATTGGTGTTGAACGCTGCCCTGATGAATTGGAGACGGCACGTCAGGACTAGTTCCGACTTCTGTAAATTCACCAGCCAACCTAATTGGTGAAGAAGCTTTATCGTGAACCGCATGTGGAAAAGCAGAATCCACTGATATGTCTGCGCTTGAATGCAATCTTCCATGTATACTTTGAAAGCAATCCCTCTGCAGTGGAGAAATCGCTTGATTGGTTTTGTGACCCGTGTGAAAATTCCAAATGGGAGGACACGCCACTGATAGTGGATGCCCTCGTAGATGAAACGGAGAAACTTCTGGTGTTCGTGGAATATTGGCACCATGAAGTCGCCCGGCTTGATGATGGTACGTAGAAGCGCCACCGAGACCATCCAGAAGTGGGGAGGTTGTTGGAGGTATGTTGCATTGAATATCTTAATGCTGAAGATTTCCTGGGAACCAGAAAAATCGGAGAGTAAAATTGTGGATTGCTGGGAACGTAGTGAGCCGGGCTTTGCTATCGCAACGAGTCCTCCACCTGCTTACGCTGAAACTTCATGAGTTCAACTGAAACCTGAAGTTGTGTATCTTCCCCGACTTTAGTAGCTACCTCTCTGATGGACCCATTAAAGAGTGTGCGTCCAGACTAAGGCTGGTGAAACAAGTCCTCCCACGACATCAGATTCAATGGTCCCCTACGCCTGACAGCCGTCAGGTAGAAGAAAGAAACTGTGCAAGCTGATCCAATGCTGTCTGGAACTGCTCCTGCATCAAAACCATAGCTGCTCTAATGTAGGCCTGTTGAGGCGATGATGCATGCGCAACTGAAATGGCAACTCCCTAGCTTCTACCAGGAAGGGGGTGTATGTGCGTTGTTTGGTTCCTAACAAGGCAAGGTCATCATCAATTGGAGGCGATGTGACCAATGTAGCAAATCTGTGGTTATGTGCTGAGGCAAGATTAAAATGGGGAGCCGCAAAACCATTTTTCACCTTGCGTAAGTTGTTGAATGCCTGTTGAGTGATACACGGTCAAAGCGGGAAGGTGATGGACCCAAACTCCCCTGGGCGCATGTCAAAAGAAGAAAGTAGATCTGACGGAGACCTACTCCTAGGTAACATTAAGTTGTCCGCAATCCATGTTAACAGTTGGGGTGTCTCTACTGCATCTACACTAGCATCCAAGGTAGACAGACACTCTGAGGGAGGAGAAGGAGTGGCAGAGGGGAACGCCTCCTTCAATGAAGGTCCCAACGACGGTTCATTCAAACTCCCGATGAGTAGCAGTTGCATTGGGAGTCCCATGTCTCAAACAATTGAGTCAAAGTTGAAAGGCTGGGAACCACTGCTGTCTCCAGAAGGATCCCAAGAACCGGAATAATCGGACAGGATGATGTAGATGAAGTCATCACATGAGCTGAACCCGACAACGTAGAAGGTGTAGTAGATGGAAGTGAAGTCACACCTAGCTGGAGAGGGAGTGTGACCCTGACAGGCCGCGCTGAATCTGTAGATACCATTGAACTGGCAGTAGTAATCAAGATCGCTGAATGAGTGGGAAGCATCATGTTGTATGAGAGCACCGACTGGTATGAAACGTTGAATCCAAGTCAAGTGGTGCACAGGTCTGGAGTGCCGAACAGACGGGGAGCGGCACACTAGTCTGAAGCAAAGTGCCGCACCGGACAAAAGCAGCAAACTAGTTGAATCTAATGAAAGCGCTGAACTGAACTGAAGTGGCGCACTGGCTTGCATGACGAACCAATCAGAAGCTTAGGGAGTCTCTCAATTGACGAACTGTGTGAGAGCGCCGCACTGGAGTGAACACTTGACCCATACAATATCGGCGCAATAGAGGGAAGCGTAACACCAAATGGAAGAGGTGCACAAGGCGGAAACGCCCAACTGATAGGGATTGTTCAGCTGGGTATCATCACTGGAGTTTGAGGGATCGCCGTAGACAAGCTCGCAGTACAATAAGCCACTGTAGGTAAGTTAATAGCGGAGCCAAAAAATAGAGACACATTGCCAGCAGGCGCTGACATTGCTGTAATCGGTGCTTGAGAAATTGTCACTAAAACTGTCGGTCGGGACTGTGACGGCAAGGTATGAAGTACTACCACCCGAGGGGGGAGTCAGTCTGTCTTGATACTGGACTTGAAGTCTGTTGGCGTAAATTGTCGCTGAGGTCAGAATCAGATGCAGCATTGAGAAATTCTTTCTCCGATGATCAAATCAAATCAAATTATATATATTTGTATAGCGCAACATATCCAGAGTCCTGCTCATGTGCGCTTAGTCAAATGCTCGTTTGAAGAGGATGGTTTTGAGACAAGATCGGAAACTGTTGATATTTCCCGATTTTCTGACATTTTCAGGTAATCCATTCCAGAGTACAGCACCCGCTCTGCTAAATGTTCTGTCCCCGTATGTGATGGTGATGAACGGCGAGCTGTTTTGCATGGACGATCTCGTTTAAAATGTTTGGACGATGATGGACCATCGGAAGGCCTCTGACGGTCCCTGTCTGCCACTCATCTTGTGCCTACTCTATGATAAGCAGTGAAAACTTAACATCGTCTAAACTGGCACAATATGAGCAAAGGCGGGACCAGTCACACCATCCAATACAGCCAACACAGAGAGTGTGAGGGTCAGAGGCAGAAAAATTACTTCTGCATTTGTCACAGTGTTTTCTCTTCCTAAGGGATCAATTACTTTTCCCCATAATGAACAATAGAGACGAGTGGCACGCAGAGCAAAACACACGTCCACCTCTGTGGGCGACAAGAAAGAGAATGACAGTAGTGGGACGTCACGTGATCATCTGAGCGTTTAGCACACTTCACAGAGATGATGGACAGGTCCAGCTATAGGAGCGGGGGGAGTGATTGGGTGGGAGAGAGGCCAGAAGGTTTGATTTACCATAGCCTACAGCACGTTTCCACGCCATGGTCGAAGTAGAGAGAGAAGTGCATACTGTGAGATAGGATAAGTTTAAAAAATACCTCTTTTGCAAGTGATTTTAAAGACCCATACCACTATGGCCCAGTCATGTATCTCATGGATCATATGTGCTACTGAGAGTTGTTTTTTGCACAAAGAAGTCGTTTTCTGTTCTTTTTTTGACATTTCATTTTTTATTCCAATGATTGGTCTATGTGATTATTATTTACATATTTGTTAGGCAGGTTAGTTATCAATATCAGTCATTTTATCAAAAACAAGTGTTTGCCACTAAAATGGCAATGTCCCCCGCCGCTAAAGAATGGAATATTTATAACATATTTACTTCTTTTTATTTTTTGGTCACATACAACATGCATGAAATCACTGGTGTCTGCATAATCCCCCAATGTAGGCTGTCATCAAGTTTGGACACATTGGGTACAACATTGGGTACCACAGTTCATGAGATATCGCGTTAACAAGAGTTTGAAAAGTGGTCACCCAAATCGACTGTTGGTGACTCTTGAAAATGAACAAGGTCAAGGTCACCCAAGCGTTAACAAGACGGATGGATGGATGTACGTACGGACGCCGCTGAATTCACAGTCCACAAATCTAGCCATTCCACTTTAAGGACAAATTTCTATCAAAGCAAAATGATTTGGGGTATTTCAGAAAACAACCACCACAGTCCCATGTCTCTAAATGAGGAAGTTATATACAATTTGTGCTCCATAATATCATTTTCAGTACATTCTGTAAAATACAATTTTGTCACTTTTGAATACAAATGATATTGTGATAAGCCTTTCGGAAACTCAAGTATACCCTATGCTTGAAAAAGTTGCCAGATAATATATAGGAAGTGCAAAAGTAGAAACCCCTTCACACGTATGTGGCAATGGCTTTTTAATTCAAACACTGCAAGTAATCCCTTTTTCAAGCATTATTACAAGCTAGCTCAATGAACTCATCCTGTTACTCACAATCGGGGAACAATGTTTCCTGCATACTGGACAAGCTCATACAAGTCAGCCACCTTGCGTCCTCTCTGAAATTCCTCCACCAGATACACTTCCAGATGACGAAGTTCATCCGAAATGGCCATGTCTGGCAAATGTTGAGGATATAACAACAGAAATGAAACAATCATGAAAAACTCATATCTTCCACTAATGATATGTTCCAACAAAATGTCCAAAGTTCCTTAATTAGTATCCACCTAAAGGCATGAGTTCACGGCTAAAATGGTATCTGTGCAAAGTTTGGTGAAGAAATTGAATAGACCTGCGAGTTATACTAGGAAAACATATCTCTTATCTTGGCTGACCTTAGACACCAGAAACATATAACATCAAAATATTCCAAAACAGCAAAAGGCACCAGCTGATGGCAAGGCAAGTGTCTTTCTCACATCATAATACAATTTACAGTTTCCTAAGCTCAGTAACTGACAGCTTTTTAAGTGGTTCTCAATATGACAATCACCTTATACATGATGAATGTAAGCAGTCTTGTAACATATTTGTCATCAAAACATCTAGAAATACTAATCACTGTGAAATGTTTAACCTTTGCACTAATATCTCTACAGGTCATACAACAATACAACAGTAAGCTATTATCACTACAGTAATTTTAAACACAAATAATAACAATAAAACAAGAAGACATGGTCATCAATATCCCCCGCCACAGTGTTCTGTTCCTATTTGGTTCCTTTTTAAAAACCCACCACAATATTTATGTTCTGAAAACACATGCCACATTTGGTTTCCCTTCTATAACGGTTACTGAGAAAATCTGTTCCCATTGAGGATACCGTGCACTTAGTCAAGAAACGCATGACAGGGGACATAACTCTGTAAACACATCATAACAAGGTTTCCTTTAACCCCATCAAGGCATTCATGTCCTGAAAACACATACCTATAACAGTTTTTAAAGAAAATCTGTCCCTATCATCTCAGATGGACAGATGTCCGCCCCCCACTTCGTGACATGATTAAACTAAGAATACCACAATTAAAACATAACATCTCTATATTTTAGTTTTTCTTTTATGATCTTCATTTTAAATAGGAATTGCTGTCAAACTGCAGATGCAGGTTTCAAATAACATCAGTATTGTTTAACAAAAGAATTGATATCTACTTATTAGTTATCCTGACAAGGAACAAATCCTGAAACCACTTCATTAACAAAATTGAATATTGACATACAAATGTCCACTGTTAAAGTGTCAGCAAGTATTTGTAAAAACCATAAGCAGCCAAAGAAGTCCCAATAGCAAAACCGCCATTTCTAGAAATCATTAAACAGGTGAAAAATAATGAAGTTATATAATCCTACCCAAAGACACTTCACATGACCCAATACCTGAATATACCAATGAGGCCACAAAGCACTTGCTGGTTATCCATCTTACTGCCCGCCCTTGTAGTGTACTGGCGGTTTGTTTGGAATTCACTTAACCATACTAATACAGCATGTACAGACAACCTCAATACAACATTATTTATACTAAGCACTGTTTCCTGAAGTATACTTCATCAAAAACCATACATGAAAATGGCAGGTTTAAATAACTTTATCCAAAGTTCAAGTTTGAAGGATACAACATTCATAGTAGCTCTTTGGTGACAACATAGATGTCCGGAGTTCTCCTAGCATTGATGATGCATGCTTCAGGCCATCCATCAGTTTTCCCTTGTCCTGTGGAAAAATCACAAAGCGGATTATAATGTGCAAAGGAAAAAAAATATTCGCTACCTTACAGGACTCGATTAAAAGAAAATTAAACCTACTTGCACCTAGTGCAACCTAAAGAAATAATTTTTTTGCACTGGACAAAAACAGGTTGCACCTGCTGCTCATTATAAATTTATACATACTGCTTGAGTTTTGGTATTGATGATTAAGAACATTAGTTTAATGAAATTATTCTAGGTCTGATGAAGATCATTTTAACATAGTTTATGAAATTTCATGACTGAAACAGTAACATCAATCCCATCACTGCTTGTGTCGTCATCAGACACACTGCTCCAAACCAGTTCCTTATATGTAGCAAGAGACCCATGAAGATCAGGGTTAGAAATGTTCAGCAACCCATGCTTGTCCGGTGGTCATGCTTGCTGACTTGGTTGACGTGTCATCGTATCCCCATTGCATAGATCGATGCTCATGCTGTTGATCACTGGATTGTCTGGTCCAGACTCAATTATTACAGAATGCTGCCATATATAGCTGGAATATTGCTGAGAGTGACGTTAAACAACAAACTAACCAAATGCAGTACAGAGAAAAGTAAGCAATCCTAAAGCACACACAAATAGAAATAACAACATTAACATCTTGTATGATTATGTCAGGATAATTTTACAGAGTTGATACCTTGGGATGTTGCATTCAGCAGTTTCAAGTTGCACAAGTGCAAATTCTAAATGCTTAAATTGAGCCCAGCCCTAGGTTATGAAAGATAAAAATAGAAGGGTAAACAGAGCATTGTCAAAGGGCCAACAATCCCGCAAGAGAAAGATAGAATTCTCTTACTGAAAGCTATTATTTACCTATTGCAACCTGTGAGGTCTTGGTTAAGAGATGGTATGGAGTACATTCTGAAAACTAGGGCTTTAGCTATTGCTGACTGATTCTTGGGTACAACCTCTGGGAGAGAACTCTGTGATGGTACTCCAGTTTGGATTATGAGTGAGTGAAGAGATATCAATGGCATGTAACTACAAAACTCTGGCTTGCCTAAGAAAGTCTGGGCAGCTTTGATGAATGGCATTATGCAAATATGCATCCTGTAAATCCAGACCTATTGCCCACGCTCCTAACCTGAGAGAGGGCCTTATGTGTCCATTTCAAATTTTTGGAGACATCCTAGATCATTTCTACTGAGTACCTTGAGATCTATAATTATGTACATTTCAAATAGAATAGATAAAATTGATGCTTGTATCTGGTCTTTACAGCTTCTAGTAACAAGTGTTACCAAGGTAAGTTCAATAGGACTTGGAGAAATTTGGGATGCTGGTAAATAGCTACTTCCTTTCCCTCAACTGCTATCCTTGGATGTTAGTTGGAAATTGGAATCATCCTTGGCATTGGAACACTGCCAACATGATCTACCTTTCTAGGAGGGAGCACTATCCTGTTCCGACTTATTGTCTTCTCGCCGGATCCTGTCTCTCATGTTCTGCAGGACTTTCTAGCTTATAGGGAGATAGTGGAAGACTGGATGGAACTTCTAATAAGTGCCCCTGATACCGTCATCAATTAATGAATCAAGTTAACTGTAGAAGAACACTTTAGATGCAAGAGGCTACGATAAGATTGATTTTCCTATGAAGAGATGTCTTTAAGAAAACACAACTTCCAAGCTTCAGCAGATGATGCACATGATGCACATGATGTCGAATTTCATGACAACATTAAATATTTAAACTGCATGTCTGATAGTGAATTACACCGATCACATCTAGAATCCACAATACACACAACTTATCTGCATTTATAACAACATACATGAGGATCCATGAGAATTTGTTAACATCCACAGTCTGAACAAAGTTGAGTAGGTTCCATTTCCAGGACAATCACAAAACACTTAAGTCAAACAAATCCTTAACAAGAAATATCGGCTATGATGAAATAGAGGTAGTGCATTTGGAGGAAATGGATTGAGCACTACAATGTAAACATATAATAAATTTCACTCATGGGATATAATTGGGTGTTAGGGGGCAATAAAAATATAACAATAATTATCGTTGTTAGTAATGCATAGGATTCTGATTCAAAGCCTAATTCGAATTATTTGGCTTGTCACGTCACTCACAACTCTTCAGGTTTTCAGCAGAAGTCCTCTTCACTATTCATGATTAGTTTTGCCTTCTGCACAAGTACACAGCTGGAAAACCTCACTTCTTTCCAAAATCAAAATTCTAGATTCAGCACATTGGAGAGGTAGGTGGGTTTTAATCTTTATGTAATATAGGTTGAATTTACTGAATTATTTCTAATGCTAACTATGTTCATATAATTCATGGGAATACACTAAATCTATTACATCAGTGCTGGAATATACCAGAACAACTGGCGTCATCTGACATCTAGTAACCTAAAGGATGGATGAAGAACTTTCTGAGAAAACATATACTTTTGATACTTTCAAATTTAATCTTATTGAAGACATTTTCTCTCTTTGGATACTTGATAGACCCTTAAAACACATACATTAGGTGGTCCAAATAGGAAATAATTGTCAAAGGGCAACATCAGATTCACTGTTCTGAGTGAGTTTAGTTTTACGCCGCTTTTAGCAATATTCCAGAAATATCACGGAGGGGAACACCAGAAATGGGCTTAACACATTGTACCCATGTGGGGAATTGATCCTGGGTCTTCAATGTGACGAGCGAACACTTTAACCACTTGGCTACCCCACCGCCCAAAAATTCATAGTAGTTTGTTAGAGTACCATGAATTCTGTGGCCAATTCCCATTTGAAGACATCATCCTCTGAACTTCAATTGACAGTCTATCTTAACTGGGATGTTTATTACCTCATCTGGTAAATATGAAATGTTAAAAGGAATAACCCTGAAGCTTCAGGTAGTCAATATGGGCTCCCCTTCCCAAGTGGGATGTGTTGAGGATGTGTTGAGGTGCCGAATACCCAGAAGCTTCAGGTAGTCAATATGGGCTCCCCTTCCCAAGTGGGATGTGTTGAGGATGTGTTGAGGTGCCGGAATACCCAGAAACTTCAGGTAGTCAATATGGGCTCCCCTTCCCAAGTGGGATGTGTTGAGGTGCCGGAATACCCTAAAGCTTCAGGTAGTCAATATGGGCTCCCCTTCCCAAGTGGGATGTGTTGAGGATGTGTTGAGGTGCCGGAATACCCAGAAACTTCAGGTAGTCAATATGGGCTATCCTTCCCAAGTGGGATGTGTTGAGGATGTGTTGAGGTGCCGGAATACCCTGAAGCTTCAGGTAGTCAATATGGGCTCCCCTTCCCAAGTGGGATGTGTTGAGGATGTGTTGAGGTGCCGGAATACCCAGAAACTTCAGGTAGTCAATATGGGCTCCCCTTCCCAAGTGGGATGTGTTGAGGTGCCGGAATACCCTAAAGCTTCAGGTAGTCAATATGGGCTCCCCTTCCCAAGTGGGATGTGTTGAGGATGTGTTGAGGTGCCGGAATACCCAGAAACTTCAGGTAGTCAATATGGGCTATCCTTCCCAAGTGGGATGTGTTGAGGATGTGTTGAGGTGCCGGAATATCCCTGAAGCTTCAGGCAGTCAATATGGGCTCCCCTTCCCAAGTGGGATGTGTTGAGGATGTGTTGAGGTGCTTGAATACCCAGAAGATTCAGGTAGTCAATTTGGGCTCCCCTTCCCAAGTGGGATGTGTTGAGGATGTGTTGAGGTGCCCGAATACCCTAAAGCTTCAGGAAGTCAATTTGGGCTCCCCTTCCCAAGTGGGATGTGTTGAGGATGTGTTGAGGTGCCCGAATACCCAGAAACTTCAGGTAGTCAATATGGGCTATCCTTCCCAAGTGGGATGTGTTGAGGATGTGTTGAGGTGCCGGAATATCCCTGAAGCTTCAGGCAGTCAATATGGGCTCCCCTTCCCAAGTGGGATGTGTTGAGGATGTGTTGAGGTGCTTGAATACCCAGAAGATTCAGGTAGTCAATTTGGGCTCCCCTTCCCAAGTGGGATGTGTTGAGGATGTGTTGAGGTGCCGGAATACCCTAAAGCTTCAGGTAGTCAATATGGGCTATCCTTCCCAAGTGGGATGTGTTGAGGTGCCCGAATACCCTAAAGCTTCAGGTAGTCAATTTGGGCTCCCCTTCCCAAGTGGGATGTGTTGAGGATGTGTTGAGGATGTGTTGAGGTGCCGGAATACCCAGAAACTTCAGGTAGTCAATATGGGCTCCCCTTCCCAAGTGATATGTGTTGAGGTGCTCGAATACCCTAAAGCTTCAGGTAGTCAATTTGGGCTCCCCTTCCCAAGTGGGATGTGTTGAGGATGTGTTGAGGTGCCGGAATACCCAGAAACTTCAGGTAGTCAATATGGGCTCCCCTTCCCAAGTGATATGTGTTGAGGTGCTCGAATACCCTGAAGCTTCAGGTAGTCAATATGGGCTCCCCTTCCCAAGTTGGATGTGTTGAGGATGTGTTGAGGTGCCGGAATACCCAGAAACTTCAGGTAGTCAATATGGGCTATCCTTCCCAAGTGGGATGTGTTGAGGTGCCCGAATACCCTAAAGCTTCAGGTAGTCAATTTGGGCTCCCCTTCCCAAGTGGGATGTGTTGAGGATGTGTTGAGGTGCCGGAATACCCAGAAACTTCAGGTAGTCAATATGGGCTCCCCTTCCCAAGTGATATGTGTTGAGGTGCTCGAATACCCTGAAGCTTCAGGTAGTCAATATGGGCTCCCCTTCCCAAGTTGGATGTGTTGAGGTGCTGGAATACCCAGAAGATTTAGGTAGTCAATTTGGGCTTCCCTTCCCAAGTGGGATGTGTTGAGGATGTGTTGAGGTGCCCGAATACCCTAAAGCTTCAGGTAGTCAATTTGGGCTATCCTTCCCAAGTGGGATGTGTTGAGGATGTGTTGAGGTGCCGGAATACCCTAAAGCTTCAGGTAGTCAATATGGGCTATCCTTCCCAAGTGGGATGTGTTGAGGATGTGTTGAGGTGCCGGAATACTCAGAAGCTTCAGGCAGTCAATATGGGCTCCCCTTCCCAAGTTGGATGTGTTGAGGTTCCGGAATACCCTAAAGCTTCAGGTAGTCAATATGGGCTATCCTTCTCAAGTGGGATGTGTTCAGGATGTGTTGAGGTGACAAAATACCAATGGGTTTCCTTTGAAAAGTTCTGTTTCAATGTCCACTACTTGAGATCCTCCATCTGGCTTGTCAAAATGGTGTTATAAAAATCCACACTTAAAGTCCTTAGACACATTGTACCCATGTGAGGAATCGAACTCAGGTCGCAAGGGAATGCTTTAACCACCAGGCTACCCCATCGCCCCACATGTTAATGGAAAGACAAGATGCTGTATTTGATACTGACAATTACAGAATCTCTTGTGGAGATGAAGTGACACTTCTTGGTGCTATGCCTGCCTTCTTCAAGGCCACTTGTGCCTCTGTGTAAGGTACAACCTCAGACAGGGATCACACGGTATCCACTGTCTTCATTAGAGCTGTGACGATATATCGTAGTATCGATAATCATGATACTTTATCTGACAATAAATACATCGATACGTTTTTTCGTATCGTGATATGTATCGTTGACCTTAAACTTGTTAATTTTCATTAGATATTTATGTCAAACTTTCTAGCTATTAACATATAATTTTTTAATGAAAATAACTAAAGAAAGCATATCGTGATATGCATCGAATCGAATTGTATCATTTCAAGATATCGCGATACGTATCGTATCGTGAAATGTCTGTATCGTCACACCACTAGTCTTCATTGCCAAGCCTTTCTTCTTAATCTTTTTCCAAAACTTCTGCTTAGGGGATTTAGCTTATGGGACAATCTTGTCTCTCCATAGAGCACTTCTGCAATCTAAATTTCCAGCATAGCCTGTAGAGATGTACACTTATGTGTCTACACCTCTTGCATGAGTAACATTTGACATTTGTGGCCTCAGTGCCAGGCTGATCCCAAAACTGACCTAGCAAGATGACAACACAGAACTAAGTAATAATTCCTCAAAGAAATTCCCTAACTTTTTGCTGGATCACAGGATGATAACAATCCCAGTCTTAAGAACTTTTACAACAGCTCACACAGGCAGTAATGTTTTTTTCACCTTGCTCATGTGCTGAAGGAAAGGGTAGCAAGATACTATAACCTTAATTATGGGCTGTCGTGGGTGAAGAGGACTTTTGATCACAAGCTCGGTTACGTGAATTATGCATTGATATGTTGTAAAATCCCTGAAAATTTCAGGGATTTTATAAAATTCCTGATTCATTCGGTGGTTTCACAAAATCCCTGGGATTCCTAGGGATTGAACAAAATCCCTGAAAATCACAATTTTTTTTACATATTCCCTGATATGAATGTATCGCTTTCTCAGTGTTTGTTTTGACAATACTGCTTGTAAATATTGCATGTGTATACAGTAACCAAAGAAAGTTGACAATACTCAAGTCGTCCTGTCTCCAGTGTCAGCAAAAGGAAAGAGGACCACAACGAAAGGGGCTGTTGTAGAGCCAATTTTGTCTAAGAACTTTGCTTCTCGTGCACAGGTTGACTCGATCGATATGCAATCCATGTCTCAATGTCAACTCAAATGGATCATGCATTGTCAGGATCATCTCACTAAGTTCTGTGTACTCAAGACCTCTAACGTCAAATCGAGCAACAGAAGTGGCTTACCAGTTGTTAGATATGTTTCTGTTCATTGGGGCACCTGCTATTCTACAAAGTGACAATGGATCTGAGTTCACAGCCAAGATCATTGATGAACTTTCCCATTTTTGGCCTGATCTAACCATTATCCATGGTAAGCCCGTCATCCTCAATCTCAAGGTTCTGCTGAGCGTGCAAATTGTGATGTGAAGGATATGCTTTCTGCCTGGTTAGCTGAACACAAGACAACGGATTGGACCATGAGCTTGAAGTTCCTCCAGTTCCAGAATTCCATAGGAGTTGTAATGGACATTACTGACAACGGAATGTACACACTTGCTGTAAAAGCCGGTGTCTTGTGTGGAAAGTATTTACGCAACCAGTTTAATGTGTGTGCCACATCTCTCTACACTATTGCAGATATGTCGACTGAGAAACTTGTATCGCTGAATTCTGCAGTCCAGTCAGAGTCTGTATGTGGTGGACAAGATTTTGTGAAATGTAACTGTAGTGGCACAAAAAGATGTCAGACCCAAACATACAAATGTTACAAGGCTGGTGATATGTCTAACTCGTGATGTCACTCTTCCCTCTCTTGCAGAAACAAATGTTGATACATATGAGTGTGTTTGACTGACGTGACTTTGTTTCAAAAAGATATCACAGAAGGTACTCTGATCCATTGCATGAGTATGGCAATTGAACACGGATGCAACATCTGATAGTTATAGATATTGTTTTTGATAGTCATGTTGAATTATTTGATATTTTTTATAACATATTTATGCAACTATTTTCATGTCAATGCAGAAAAAAAGTTTTTTTGATTTTTGACACGTTTTTGTCTTTACGTACAAGATGTATTGTCAAAACAAACACTGAAAATGCGATATATTCATTTCAGGGAATATGTAAAAGAAATGGTAGTTTCAGACAGATGAGTTAACAGTGATGAACAATGTTGATTGGGTTGCTGGGCAGAACAGAAGGTTACAAACCCTGGCTGCCATGGTGAGAAGGGGAGGTATGACAATGAGCAGGCGAGTGGACATCGTGCAATGTAAGTGCACAAAACTATCAAGGCTATCACGCGTAGGAGGTGACAGACAGGTGCTTGTACCACGACAGTAGGTGATGGTGCTTTGGGGATGTATGAAGTTGAGCATACACAGGATTAGGAACTACCACCCAAACACAATCTCAGTGAGCACGTGTCACCAAGGACATCAATATGTACTACAAACAAAAAGTATAGGAACACCCTAAAATTTGATAGTCATAAATAAACTGAAACGTGGTGAGGTCATTTATACTCTTACTTAAATGCAACTTTTTGTGTGCTTAATGGGCACTTGGAACATCCAGTGAAGAAACTGATTTGTTGAGTTTGAGTGAAATGAAACAATGTCAAACACAAGCAAAAAACAAAGGTACTGAAACACAACAGCACTGTGTTTGACTCAAACGTCCAAACACACCAGCACTGTGTTTGATTCAAACGTCCAAACACAACAGCTTAGTGCATGTGGAAGACAGACTTCCCATGCAGCTTGTGGCAATGTTTCCTTTAAAACAAGGTTACAGAATGGTGAATCCATAAGAAGTGTTGCTCGCCGTCTTCAGGTGTGTCCCTCTGTCATTCACTGACTGAGGGACAGATTCCAGGCCGCTGGTAGAGTAGAGGACAGGTCCAGCTCTGGAAGACCCAGACCCAAGGGCATATGACCGATATGTTGTACTCTAAGCCCTTCTGAACTAATTCACAACTGCCAGTGTCCAGTTGCCACAAGCTGCTTGGGAAGTCTGTCTTCCACATGCACTAGGTTGTTGTGTTTGGGCATTTGAATCAAACATGGTGCTAGTGTGTTTCAGCACCCTTGTTTTTCGCTGTTTTTGACATTGTTTCATTTCACTCAAACATGTCGTTTAAAGTGCCCATTGAGCACACAAAAAGTTGCATTCACCTTAGAGTATAAATGACATCACCATGTTTAAGTCTATATGACTATCAAAATACAGGGTGTTCCCATACTTTTGTTTGTAGTATATGTTATGCTGAAAAAAAAAAAGCCAACTTTGACGTGAGTTTGAGGCATCAAAGGCATTAAATCATGAATATCTGACAGATTCACCAACAGTTTTATAAACTATATATCAAGCCATGAGTCAAGACAAATGCAATATGATTACCATGGCATGAACATATACTGAGTTATGGGGACAACACAAAGTTAAAGCGGTAACAAACTATTGAAATAATAATAATAATAATGCTAATTTTTGCGCCTAGAATCAAACACGATGTTTCTCTCTGGCGTTACATTATTACCCTGACGGAATTGTACTTTCAAAAGCTGCTACTAAGCGCTAAGCGCGACCGTATAGGTCCGTACATCCGCATTTCAGGTACCCATTTTGAACAGCTGGGTGGACTGAGTGCAATGTGGACGAAGTGCCTTGCCCAGGGACACAACACAGTATGAGACCCAGGTCACAAATGTTGGTGTCTCCACCAGGATTCAAACCCGGGGCTTTGGCGTGAGAGGCCAGCAAGCTAACCACTACACCACCGTGCTCCATATGGGAAGGATATACCAGAGAAAAAAGGGTCTCAACTGTGTAAGTTCAAAAACTCAATGTAAACAATCCAATACACATCTGACTGGCAGACAGAGAAGAATTTGAGGTTGCACCGGCCAAGGTAGATAACTCAGGGTACAGTAGCATGGACTTCATCTGTTTGCCTGTTCCTGTACTATATATTAGGTCAAGTTAGGGTTGCAAGAAAAAAACTAATTTTTGTAATATATATGTCCTTGTATATTTCCACTTCATATATAATGTACTCTATACTCACTAGACAGCGGATCATTTGAAAAGCCTGATTCTTGACGACATTTGTGGCTTCCTCGAGGAGCTTCTCTTGCTCCTCCTGTGGAGACAATTGTGGTGTTGATGGCTGTAATATACAAGGACATCGTGAGGGCTACATATATACAAGGACATTGTAAGGGCTAGTACAAGTATACAAGGACATTGTGAGGGCTACAGATATAATAGGACACTGAGGACTACACATATACAAGGACATTGTGAGGGCTACAAATGTATTAGGACATTGTGAGGGCTACAAGTATACAAGGACATTGTGAGTGCTACAAATGTATGAGGACATTGTGAGGGCTACAAGTATACAAGGACATTGTGAGTGCTACAAATGTACGAGGACATTGTGAGGGCTACAAGAGTACAAGGACATTGTGAGGGCAACAAATGTACAAGGACATTGTGAGGGCTACAAGTATACAAGGACATTGTGAGGGCTACAAGTATACAAGGACATTGTGAGGGCTACAAATGTACCAGGACATTGTGAGGGCTACAAATATACAAAGACATTGTGAGGACTACAAATGTACAAGGACATTGTGAGGGCTACAAATGTACAAGGACATTTGAGGGCTACAAATATACAAAGACATTGTGAGGACTACAAATGTACAAGGACATTGTGAGGGCTACAAATGTACAAGGACATTTGAGGGCTACAGATATACAAGGACATTGTGAGGGCTACAGATATACAAGGACATTGTGAGGGCTACAAATGTACAAGGACATTGTGATGGCTACAAGTATACAAGGACACAGAGGACTACACATATACATGTACAAGGACATTGTGAGGGCTACAAATGTACAAGGACATTGTGAGGGCTACAGATATACAAGGACACTGAGGACTACACATATACAAGGACATTGTGAGGGCTACAAATGTACAAGGACATAGTGAGGGCTACAAGTATACAAGGACATTGTGAGTGCTACAAATATACAAGGACATTGTAAGGGCAACAAATATACAAGGACATTGTGAGGGCTACAAATGTACAAGGACATTTGAGGGCTACAGATATACAAGGACATTGTGAGGGCTACAGATATACAAGGACATTGTGAGGGCTTCAAATATACAAGGACATTGTGAGGGCTACAGATATACATGGACATTGTGAGGGCTACAAATGTACAAGGACATTTGAGGGCTACAGATATACAAGGACATTGTGAGAGCTACTGATATACAAGGACATTGTGAGGGCTACAGATATACAAGGACATTGTGAGGGCTACAGATATACAAGAGAGAGAGACTCAAAGGGGGTCTAAGATTATGAAGACTCACCACACATCTTGTAACTATGAATTAAAGGTTCACTGCTATCAACCAGGGCTCACCACACATCTTGTAACTATGAATTAATCTTAGGTTCACTGCTATCAACCAGATGCTTAACAATCTAAGACTGGAGAAACACATAACAAAATGATGGACTAGCTCCCAAATGATCCAAACATTAATGTCAAAATTTTGCTCATCTGCAGTAACTACATGGAAAATTCAATATTGAAACTGAAAGGTATGTTGTTCCAACAGTACAATGCACATGTAGACAAGTATTTTGTTCCAGTTGCAGTAAATGCATGACTGTGGCTTTTACCAAATTAAACATCCTCCAAATTCACGAAATGAAGATCACTAGACATTTAATATTATTTACCTCTTCAAAAACATGAATTTTTTTTGGTCAAACATGTATTTTCGAATGATGATGTTATTTCTGCTGTTGAGGATGTTTCACACCACTAGTCTGAACACATCAACATTAGTGGGATCCAGGCACAGCTTGACAATGGGTTTTTACAAGTGTATCTCGGAATATATCTGATGAAGGAACAGCATGAATAGTAGTAAAATTGTTACTCATCTAGTATGCATTTGATAGTAAGTAGTGTTAAATTAAACCATCTGTTCAATATCAGTGCATGAAAGCTTCAAAGTGAATATGATATGAATGAAGGGCAATGGTATGTTTAACTGCTATGGAATATCAATTAGCTTAAGTTAATTTCAATGTTTGTTTGGTTGTCGTTCAATGCTGCTCTTAGCAATATTCCAGATTTACGGTGGCAGTCTATATAAATGAGTCTGGACCAGACAATCCTGTGATCAACCGCATGAGAACAATCAATGCAATGGGGATACGATGACATGTGTCAACCAAGTTGGCGAGCCTGACCACCCGATCCCGTTAGTTGCCTCTTACCACAAGCATGGGTTACTGAAGATCAATATTCTAACCCGGACTTTCATGGGTGAGTTAATGTTAATAATGATTAAAACCATTCATGAACACGGACAACAGCCAGACATTGTCTGGGCATGCACAGGATGAGGGTCCTGATGGTAGCCCTTGAGATGTGGAGCCACACTTCCTGCTGAGCTGTAAGGAGTTGGTCCAGACTGTGAAGCACACACTACAGGATGATGGCAAACCCTAAGCAAAAGTGGTCTTAACACATAACTGTAACTACTTCCAAAAACATATGCAACTACAGTCTGTTTGGGTCAAAATGCAACTGATGAATCACAATTTAACTCCAAATTGGATCATGATCAAACATTCATTTCAATGCAGAATGTAATGAAAACATCAGACCAACGCTGGAAAAAAGGACTGGACTATACTTCACTGACATTTCTAGGTGGTCTCCTAACTCACCACCACATGTTTCAAATGTGACACCGCTACCCTTTGGTTTGGTGGAATGTATGCTGACTTTAGTCTCATACCTGATACTGTGATAGATATCTTGCCTCTTACAAATGTAATGAGGAACCGAAAGTTATTACAAATCTCTATATAGCTATGAGTGAGTTTTTTATGCTGCTTTTAGCAATATTCCAGCAATATCATGGCAGGGGACACCAGAATTGGGCTTCACACAATGTGCTCATGTGGGGAATCGAAACCTGGCCTTCGGTGTGACGAGTGAATGTTTTAACCACTGGGCTACCCCACCGCCACCTCAGCAACTATGAGTCTCATTAGAATAAACCAAGAGTCATCAGTAGATGACAAATCCCCCCGGCCCACAGAAATTTGAAAGAACAAATCATCTGACAGTTACTTAAAGTCCAAATTGATTTTTGGACTAAGTCCAATCAGGAAAAGTATAAATGCCAAAAATCTGGAAATAGCAAAAGGCGCCATTTAAAGATCTGTTTGATATATCTGCCAAGTCTTGAAGAAAGATATTGAACGGTTTTCAAGTTGTGCTCTGGAAACGACGCCCACCTCTCCCTTTTGAGACTAAGTCCGAAATGTTTCCATGGAAACCAATAAAAATAAAAATGACAAAAATCTGTAAATAGCAAAAGACACCACTTTAGTATCTGTTTGATATATCTGCTAAGTTTGTTGAAAGATATTGAACTGTTTTCTTGGTGTGCTCAGGAAACAAAGCCCACCTCTCCCATTTGAGACTAAGTCCATAATGTTTCCATGGAAACCGAGGAAAATAAAAATGACAAAAATCTGTAAATAGCAAAAGCACCAATTTAGTATTTGTTTGATATATCTGCCAAGTTTTGTTGAAAGTCCAAAGCGTTTCCATGGAAACCAAGAAAAATAAAAATGACAAAAATATGTAAATAGCAAAAGGCTCCACATTACGTTCTGTTTGATATATAATACACCAATTTGTTTTAAAAATATTGAATGGTTTTTTAGTTATGCTCCGGAAACAAAATGGTAACAGATGGACAGATGGACGGACGGACGAGGAGTTGACTATATCCCCCCACATTACATGCCGGGTGGATAACAAAAGCTTAAATACTTCTCGTTTATGTTCTCGTTATGTTTATGGTTTGTGTGAGGCCAGGCCTCATATTGTTTTTTATCATCGCCTTTACCTATTTAAAGATGCTCTTAGGTACTATCATACATACACTTAATTTAAAACTGTCATTGAAGCATACAGTTCTCCAAGAAATTATTGAGAAAATCTTTGTATCCTAATACTGATAATAGAATTTAAAAAAAGGTGTTACATTATGTAATGAGGTACTAAATATGGGAGGCAACTCTTGTAGGCTTAAGAATGAACATTACTACATCAAGAGTTATGTCCCCTGGGTAGCCGATAGCTTCCTTTGCTGACATGGCAGATGTGACAGCAGACGAGAAAAGGAAGCTGGTTCTAGATGATTTTGACTGACTGACTGAGTTTGGCTCTCGCCGCTTTTAGCAATATTCCAGCAACATCACGGCAGTGGGGGACACCAGAAATGGGCTTCACACATTGTACCCATGTGGGGATTCGAACCGGGTCTTCGCGTGATGAGCCAACGCTTTAACCACTAGGGCGGGTAGCCCCTAGATGATTTTGAATGGGATGTGACTGATGCAAAGAGTTAGCTGTTAGACATGACATTCCTCTGTCTACAGTATACAGAACTTTGAAGAAGGGCAGGGAGGCCAAGGAAGTTTAGTACTACGAATAACGCCGGCAACTAGGTCAGATTGTGAGCTGGTGAAAATTGAAAAGCATTGAGAATATCAGAAATGAGACAATTAATAGAGGAAGTCCTCAGGTATATAATGAAATTACATTCTTAGGCAAGAAATACAAAGACTTAACTGGGTGAAAAAGTGCGGATTTCCCTCACCATTGATGAAAGATGCACAAAAGACTAGTTTAAACTGGTGTAGGGTTCACGAAAATCAAGACTGGGATAATGCTTTCTTTTTTCTAATGGCTTTTGTCTGGCTTTTTCTGAATTGTGTGAAAATTTGGACAAAAGATACCAATGACCATGAAACCTGTCTACCAACGCCCAACACATAGCCTGAAATTTCATATGTGGGGTGGGATATCATCACATGGAGTGATGCAGTGGTGTATTTTCACTGGAAATTTGACGAAGGAACGATATGTTGACATCTTAATATTCTTAAAGGTCACATGCAACGTAAAACACAACTTTGCAGATTCTGATACCTTTCGGTATGGACTTACCGAAACAAAGCGTCAAAAATGCAAATTCAACTTATAAAGTTGAAAAATAACGCGATGAAAAAAAACGCGCGAAATCGGAGTTCAAACGTTTCACTAATTTTCCCCAGACTTTTCTGGGGAATACGGGTTTCAACAGCTGGCTGCGCTCATAGCACGTGCGCAGTGAAATAGGTTCGCAACTTGGAAGCGGGCTGTCTGGTGAATACTCTGTGAAGGCTTTGGTGTGAGCTAGTTTCCTAATGTTTTTGTTGATATCTCACAGGCGCGAGCTTTTTGTATGTTATGACAATAAATAAACTGTTTATATAATTTCATTTGTCTATTTCACCACACGTTCTTCTTACCGAGTCACTTTCTCAGTTCGATACTTAAAAGCATTATTTAGAGTTGACACGATTTCTAACTGTGATATAGATATGTCGCTGTCACAGACAAAACTCAATGTCTTGTTTTATTGACACCAGTGTGTCTGCCTGCCTGTCTGCTAATGACAATATTCAATACACAACTGCGATCACTGACCACATGCAATTTGAACTTAACACCAATCAGGCTATACACCATAAACAAAACGCATTGATTTATGGCCCGAGTTCGGTCTCTGTCACATTATGTAATTACACAGACAGGCAGGTGTGATACTTGAACACATGACATGTTATGATGTCTGTTGATTGCAAAATGTTATACACAAAAAATGAGCATGTATTTACAAAACCCAACTTTCTATATATACACACACAATGACCCGTGAAGGCGGCATCTGCTAATGAACCAGCCGTTACACTTGAGTGCACACCCACCCGCTCTGACTGGGTTCGGTATCCCGGCTGCTTCGTTTCGAGGGAGGTAAACCCAAGTACAAAATATTGCACTTTTGATTTGCGATTATACGCTTATAATATTGTTTATTTGTTTTTTCATAATCAGCAATGCATATTATATGTCATGAAGAAGTGATAATTGTGTTTTAATTATGTTTGATTTTTTGATTGCATGTGACCTTTCAATGGTCACTTTCCAACGGCCAGATCATTGTATAAAGATACACGTAATTGGATTTTACAGTATGATAACGACCCAAAACACACTGCAGGCTACATAAGACAGTGGTTGTCGGACGAAAATGTTCAAACTTTAGACTGGCCCAGCTACATTGCACTAAGGTTACCTTAGTGACTTACGATCACCTTAGTGCTTTGTGAAAGGAGGCCCAGATCTTAACCCTATTGAGAATGTGTGGGGACTAATGAAAGACAGAATAAACCTAAAAGGACTGAGAAATATTGAGGATATGAAGAAAGAAGTGGTCGAATACTGTGATAAACTGTCACACAATTTCCTACAAACTTTGACTGGTAGTGTACCTAGGCGCATTCAGTCATGTATTGCAGGGCAGGGAGGTCACACAAAGTACTGAAAAGACACTTAGACTGTAAGAGAATCGTATCTCAACATATGTTGATAAAACTTCTATTGTTTATATACATGTATTACTAGATATTTGCCAAAACAACTTTCTCAATAATGTCTGGGAATACTATATGTCAGGAGTGAGGATGGGTTTATGCTATTCCAGCAATACCCTCATAGGGAATACCTGAAATGGGCTTCACATATTAGGGTTCGAAATACCCCATATATTGGCGTGCCATGGCACGGTAAATATCGAAATGGCACGGAAAAAAAATGTTCTCGGTGCCCTTATGGCATGCCTAATTTTTTAGAGACATAACACACCTTTAGTCACTTAATAACCAAACAAAACACTTATGCAAATGACAACCAAGCAAAAATATTTATTGACTTTATCGCCCAGGAAATCACTGGAATTATGATGGTTCATGTTAAGAAATCTGGTTGTTTTTTTCATTTAGAGTGTAGGGAGTACTGATAGTTAGGTTACTAAAGATGAAATTGTGTATGTTAGATAGATTGAAAAAAGTGAACCTGTCACACAATTCTTAGCTATTAAAGGTGTTGGGAAAGCAGAACAAATGAAACATAAGAAAGCCATCTTAAACAGAAGACATATCAGTGATAACAGAAAACTGGTTACATTTGTTGTTTTCTGACAATAAATTTCAAAAGATCATCATCATTGCTACTGTCATTTATTCTAGAAACGTGGACACACTTGATTTCTGAAAGGCACACCTAAAATATTTACCCGGTGCCCTAAGGCATACTTAGAAAAAAAGCATTTCTATCCCTGCATATTCTATCTATGTGGGGACTTGAACCCGGGTGATGAGTGAATGCTTTCACCACTACGCTATCCCACTGTCAACATGTCAGGAAAATGTTGCATATGGGATGAAGGCTCTAAAATCTGTCCTAGGTGTAGTCCCCCCATTGGTTAAATTAATGAAACAAAATTTATCATGATACTTAACTAGCTATTCACCGATGTGTCTATCCCGTTCACTGCCGCCAATCATGCTTTTATATAACCCGACAGAAGGGAATCATGGCAGTATAAATAGATGTTTTCTTACAACTAACTGTAACAGTTATCGCCATTTAGAATTTCTCATGCCATTTGTGAAATACTATATATTTCTATCATACAGTAACCTCGAATAATTAATTGTGTTACTATTTGAGTGTTTCTTTTACTGTAGATTGACAGGGTATGAAACAATTAATGACTTTTGAACTTAAATTTGTTATTATATAGGTCGTGGGACATCCCCCTGACTAAGGTAAAACATGTTTATAGGGTTCATTACTTCATCTTTATTTTTTCTCTTATGTTACTTACCGTGAAGAATTTCTTTTGCTGTCTTTTATTGTTGTCAAATACCGTGGGAAAAATACCAGAATTGTAATTGACCGGAGCTGCGCACGTGTGATACTGATGTATTGCCGATAACTGTTACACGGCGATAACTATTCGCTAGCCAGTATGGCTGTGAAACCATTTGCAAGCAGCTATGGAAGCAGAGCTAAACTTCATTACAAATCATGAGTCAAATATTTTAAAGGGGTCTGGGGATAACAGTGTGCTTGTTCCAGACTTCAAATCATTAAGGATCTGTATTTGATTTTTTATGGTACTATTGATCTGCAGAAATGGAAAAATGGTGCATAAGTACAACATTAACATTTTAGTAGCCAGTCTACCAGGACATTTTAAGGTAAGCTGGTAGGAATGTTGTACACTGCAGATTATACCATGCATATATAATGAATCAAGCTGGAATGTGACCAAAAGCACCTCGTTGCAGTTTAATCCTATAGTAACACAACACCAAAATACATCTATTGCAATCAAGCACACCTTTTGGTGTGTTTGTTATTCTGCAAAGGGGGAGGATGCATGATGTAAAACAGCCTAACACTTGGACGCCCCTCACTGACTGTCAGTGTCACTGCTGATGATAGTTCAGTCGTTCTCTAGCCTTATTAGATCGATCTTTTAGGGTTTGCCATCTATGATGTTCTACTAGCCTATAAGAATTTGTACGACAGAAAGAAAAACACAAAACTACCCACCATCTTGAAATCATGTGACCAAAATAATGAGTGTATTTGTACGAACTGACTGCGGCCGAGTACAACGTTCTTGGTCGGAAGCGAGATGATGCAAATCTGCCCAGTGCCGAAACTTGCCACAATGTTTTAGTCAAAACGGTCATGTATTGGCTGGTCAGTTTCCTGTGTCACTGTGGGTTTGGTCGACAAATGAATTATTTCAATAATTTAGAATACTGACTTTCACTTTGTATTCACATATTCACGTGATAATTTCAGCTGGAGTTTAAATAAATTGCTAGGGATTCCGTGGCATTTGTTTAGCATAAAGAGAAAAAATGGAGAGGGTTTTCGAAAAAAAATCTGTGGGACGGGAAGAGGTCAGAACAGCCACGTGTTGAAATGGCCACGTTGACCTTACCCCGGTAGTAACAATGAGCACACCAAAACGTCCAATGGGCCACAAAGCCTGCAGTGTAGTCATAATGTTTGTTTGTGGCTTTGAAAGCTGTACTATATTTGGCCGTTTGGCTTTGTGTGTGTGTTGCCATGTTGAAATGTGTACGTTATCAATAATTACCCAATTTTCATTTGGAAATTGAATAGAGAGTTCATGCATTTCTCTTTTCAAAATAATTGTTCATAACATTTCATTATAGACCTATCAGTTTATTAAAGATTCAACACTTGATATGTTCTATTTAAACCCCAATTGCGTGACACTTGTAAAAATAGAAGTTGACAAGGACTTGAAGAGATTTTGCGGAAAGGTGGAAACGACCAAACGTCAAAATGGCAACCGTGACCCACTTCAAAACGAGCACACCGACAAGGCAAATGGCGCAATGGAAACGAGAGAAGATACTGACGCCAGTACTTGTCCCACTTCTGGGTCATGTTGGTCCACGTCTTTGCGTCTCAGCACATCTGGGACATGATCTGGACACTTCCAAGGCGCTACTTTAGACAACTCGACCCTGTGCTGGGAACAGGTCAAAAGTCAAAAGGGCCAAAGGAAAGTCAAAAGGGCCAACGGAAAGTCAATTAAAAGGGCCAAACTTTTAGAAAATAGTAAGATTAAAAGAAATTCTTTACATGTTGTTGCAGTAGTTCTAATCCTAAACATCCTAAACACATCAGAGCGTCTCAGTGATGTTTATTTAAAAAAACCTCAGAGTGGTCAGGTGTTTACTTTATACCATACAACTGTTTGTGTAATGATTTCAAGTAGTCAGTAATCTAAACAAGAATAACAGTAGTGGTTAAGTGTTTATGTTGTGAGTATAGTCAACCATACAACTGTTTCTGTAATGATTACACGAGGTTTAAACAGAGTCATGGGTGTCAGACACTAGTCAGACACTCAGCAAAGAAGGACCAGGAAGAACTGTTTGAGGCATGGCAAATATATAAGGATGACGAACTGTTTGTGTAATGATTTCAAGTAGTCAGTAATCTAAACAAGAATAACAGTAGTGGTTAAGTGTTTATGTTATGAGTATAGTCAACCATACAACTGTTTCTGTAATGACTACAAGAAGTTTAAACAGAGTCATGGGTGTCAGACAGTAGTCAGACAGTAGTCAGTAATCTAAACAAGATTAACAGTAGTGGTTAAGTGTTTATGTTGTGAGTATAGTCAACCATACAACTGTTTCTGTAATGACTACAACAGGTTTAAACAGAGTCATGGGTGTCAGACAGTAGTCAGACAGTAGTCAGTAATCTAAACAAGATTAACAGTAGTGGTTAAGTGTTTATGTTGCGAGTATAGTCAACCATACAACTGTTTCTGTAATGACTACAAGAGGTTTAAACAGAGTCATGGGTGTCAGACACTAGTCAGAAATCTAAACAAGATTAACAGTAGTGGTTAAGTGTTTATGTTGCGAGTATAGTCAACCATACAACTGTTTCTGTAATGACTACAACAGGTTTAAACAGAGTCATGGGTGTCAGACAGTAGTCAGACAGTAGTCAGTAATCTAAACAAGATTAACAGTAGTGGTTAAGTGTTTATGTTGTGAGTATAGTCAACCATACAACTGTTTCTGTAATGACTACAACAGGTTTAAACAGAGTCATGGGTGTCAGACACTAGTCAGAAATCTAAACAAGATTAACAGTAGTGGTTAAGTGTTTATGTTGCGAGTATAGTCAACCATACAACTGTTTCTGTAATGACTACAAGAGGTTTAAACAGAGTCATGGGTGTCAGACACTAGTCAGTAATCTAAACAAGATTAACAGTAGTGGTTAAGTGTTTATGTTATGAGTATAGTCAACCATACAACTGTTTCTGTAATGATTACACGAGGTTTAAACAGAGTCATGGGTGTCAGACACTAGTCAGACACTCAGCAAAGAAGGACCAGGAAGAACTGTTTGAGGCATGGCAAATATATAAGGATGACGAACTGTTTGTGTAATGATTTCAAGTAGTCAGTAATCTAAACAAGAATAACAGTAGTGGTTAAGTGTTTATGTTATGAGTATAGTCAACCATACAACTGTTTCTGTAATGACTACAAGAGGTTTAAACAGAGTCATGGGTGTCAGACAGTAGTCAGACAGTAGTCAGTAATCTAAACAAGATTAACAGTAGTGGTTAAGTGTTTATGTTGTGAGTATAGTCAACCATACAACTGTTTCTGTAATGACTACAACAGGTTTAAACAGAGTCATGGGTGTCAGACAGTAGTCAGACAGTAGTCAGTAATCTAAACAAGATTAACAGTAGTGGTTAAGTGTTTATGTTGCGTGAGTATAGTCAACCATACAACTGTTTCTGTAATGACTACAAGAGGTTTAAACAGAGTCATGGGTGTCAGACACTAGTCAGAAATCTAAACAAGATTAACAGTAGTGGTTAAGTGTTTATGTTGTGAGTATAGTCAACCATACAACTGTTTCTGTAATGACTACAACAGGTTTAAACAGAGTCATGGGTGTCAGACAGTAGTCAGACAGTAGTCAGTAATCTAAACAAGATTAACAGTAGTGGTTAAGTGTTTATGTTGTGAGTATAGTCAACCATACAACTGTTTCTGTAATGACCACAAGAGGTTTAAACAGAGTCATGGGTGTCAGACACTAGTCAGAAATCTAAAACAAGATTAACAGTAGTGGTTAAGTGTTTATGTTGTGAGTATAGTCAACCATACAACTGTTTCTGTAATGACTACAAGAGGTTTAAACAGAGTCATGGGTGTCAGACACTAGTCAGAAATCTAAACAAGATTAACAGTAGTGGTTAAGTGTTTATGTTATGAGTATAGTCAACCATACAACTGTTTCTGTAATGACTACAAGAGGTTTAAACAGAGTCATGGGTGTCAGACACTAGTCAGAAATCTAAACAAGATTAACAGTAGTGGTTAAGTGTTTATGTTGCGAGTATAGTCAACCATACAACTGTTTCTGTAATGATTACACGAGGTTTAAACAGAGTCATGGGTGTCAGACACTAGTCAGACACTCAGCAAAGAAGGACCAGGAAGAACTGTTTGAGGCATGGCAAATATATAAGGATGACGAACTGTTTGTGTAATGATTTCAAGTAGTCAGTAATCTAAACAAGAATAACAGTAGTGGTTAAGTGTTTATGTTATGAGTATAGTCAACCATACAACTGTTTCTGTAATGACTACAAGAGGTTTAAACAGAGTCATGGGTGTCAGACAGTAGTCAGACAGTAGTCAGTAATCTAAACAAGATTAACAGTAGTGGTTAAGTGTTTATGTTGCGAGTATAGTCAACCATACAACTGTTTCTGTAATGACTACAACAGGTTTAAACAGAGTCATGGGTGTCAGACACTAGTCAGAAATCTAAACAAGATTAACAGTAGTGGTTAAGTGTTTATGTTGCGAGTATAGTCAACCATACAACTGTTTCTGTAATGACTACAACAGGTTTAAACAGAGTCATGGGTGTCAGACAGTAGTCAGACAGTAGTCAGTAATCTAAACAAGATTAACAGTAGTGGTTAAGTGTTTATGTTGTGAGTATAGTCAACCATACAACTGTTTCTGTAATGACTACAACAGGTTTAAACAGAGTCATGGGTGTCAGACACTAGTCAGAAATCTAAACAAGATTAACAGTAGTGGTTAAGGTTTATGTTGCGAGTATAGTCAACCATACAACTGTTTCTGTAATGACTACAAGAGGTTTAAACAGAGTCATGGGTGTCAGACACTAGTCAGAAATCTAAACAAGATTAACAGTAGTGGTTAAGTGTTTATGTTGCGAGTATAGTCAACCATACAACTGTTTCTGTAATGATTACACGAGGTTTAAACAGAGTCATGGGTGTCAGACACTAGTCAGACACTCAGCAAAGAAGGACCAGGAAGAACTGTTTGAGGCATGGCAAATATATAAGGATGACGAACTGTTTGTGTAATGATTTCAAGTAGTCAGTAATCTAAACAAGAATAACAGTAGTGGTTAAGTGTTTATGTTATGAGTATAGTCAACCATACAACTGTTTCTGTAATGACTACAAGAGGTTTAAACAGAGTCATGGGTGTCGACAGTAGTCAGACAGTAGTCAGTAATCTAAACAAGATTAACAGTAGTGGTTAAGTGTTTATGTTGTGAGTATAGTCAACCATACAACTGTTTCTGTAATGACTACAACAGGTTTAAACAGAGTCATGGGTGTCAGACAGTAGTCAGACAGTAGTCAGTAATCTAAACAAGATTAACAGTAGTGGTTAAGTGTTTATGTTGTGAGTATAGTCAACCATACAACTGTTTCTGTAATGACTACAAGAGGTTTAAACAGAGTCATGGGTGTCAGACAGTAGTCAGACAGTAGTCAGTAATCTAAACAAGATTAACAGTAGTGGTTAAGTGTTTATGTTGCGAGTATAGTCAACCATACAACTGTTTCTGTAATGACTACAAGAGGTTTAAACAGAGTCATGGGTGTCAGACACTAGTCAGAAATCTAAACAAGATTAACAGTAGTGGTTAAGTGTTTATGTTGCGAGTATAGTCAACCATACAACTGTTTCTGTAATGACTACAACAGGTTTAAACAGAGTCATGGGTGTCAGACAGTAGTCAGACAGTAGTCAGTAATC